CTCGACCTCGATTCACTCCCAAGGCAAACTGTTTCGAGGAAAGGGAGTGATGGGATTAGGAGATTGAGAAGAACATCAGTTGATGGTAAAATCAGCAATGCTCGTTTTGAATCGTTTAATGACGGTTTGAACGAACCGAGTTCGAGAAATGGGAAAGGAACTCGTCTGCTAGATTTGGACTCCAAAGGGAAAAGACAACCAAATTCTGGATTTCAGTCAGCAAATAAGCAAGGCGTTACAATATCAAAGGGACATAAAAACTATGAACTCATGCTAAATCTGCAGCTGGGGATCAGGTAAACCTTGTTGCTCCTTTTCTGCTGCATTTTCTTTGCTTTTTTATGAGTTCAAAGACAAGTTCTTGAGAAAGTTATGATGGGGCACATTGACTTGTATCAATGATATGGAACATGAAGTTTGAAGCTACCTCTACCACAATGAAATGTGTATCTATTAGCCAATGTTTTCATTCAACTTGGTGATCTTTTTGCTCCATAGCACAGGCATTCTGTTGGAAGGCCTGCTCCAGCAACGTCCCTTGATCTGAAGTCGTCGGCTTTCGATCCGAAGGAGAAAGTGTGGACGAAATTTCCACCGGAAGGATCGAAGCATACGCCACCCCATCAATCCTCTGACTTCAGATGGAAGGATTACTGTCCTGTTGTCTTCAGGTCAGTGCTAAAAGTGAATAATGTCTTAGTGAATGACACTGTGTTATTAGTTCCTCAAATTTGTAATTTCAGGACTCTTAGGAAACTGTTCGAGGTCGATCCAGCTGATTACATGCTATCGATATGTGGAAACGACGCCCTTCGGGAACTCTCTTCCCCCGGAAAGAGCGGGAGTTTCTTTTATTTAACCCATGATGACAGATACATGATTAAAACCATGAAGAAGGCTGAAGTGAAAGTTAGTTTCTACATCTTTTGAAATTTTAGAACTTTTGATCTCTTGCCTTATTGCATTGTTGAGTTTAGTACTCTTTTGCGATCTTTATGCCGTTATCGAAAGCTCGGTTCAGTTGCTGGCTGTTGCATCTATCCTAGGCTTTCCTAATTCCCTCTAGAACAAGTATGCATTTTCTGTAAGTTGAATATATTCCAATCTGAACAGGCCAAGATACATGCAGGTTCTCTTGAGGATGCTTCCAGCCTATTACAAGCACGTTCGGTCCTTCGAAAATACACTCGTCACAAAATTTTATGGCCTTCATTGTGTGAGAGTGACTGGGACTGCACAAAAGAAGGTACTAAAAGGATACTAAAGCATTACAATGGCTGCCATGGATGTTTCAATTCACATATTTTCTTACTTTACAGGTGCGATTTGTGATAATGGGAAATCTGTTTTGTTCCGAATACACTATCCACAGGCGTTTTGACTTGAAAGGTTCGTCTCTTGGTCGTATAACCGACAAACCAGAGGCCGAAATCGATGGAACAACCACCCTTAAAGATCTTGACCTTAATTACATATTTCGGTTGCAGAAGATCTGGTTTCAAGAATTTTGTAGGTAAAGAATTTCTCAACATCTTTCCTTAACCAGCTTTTTGCTACTCATTTCTGTTCATGACAAAGGATTTCAAGCTAGATTTGAACTCAATCTATGAGCTAAGTTCGTTACACTTCTTATTGGTTTTTTTTTCCATTGTGTTTGAATACAGACAAGTAGACAAGGATTGTGACTTTCTTGAACAGGAGAGAATCATGGACTATAGTCTACTAGTTGGTCTTCACTTCCAAGAAACTTCATATCAGGAAGCGAGCACACCCGAAAGCCATCATTCAGGTTTCTGCTGTCCAGTTGATTATTTCTTAAGTACCTCGAGTTTCTTATTCCAAATCATAGTTTCATAGTTTCAGTAAAATGCATCTGATATTCGAAAATGTATGTTTCAGGAAGTAGAGATTCTGACTGCGAAACAGATTGTCTGTCGAGAGCAGATAAGGAACAAGACTCTGCCAGGTAGAATGAACTCATGAACTATTGATATTCATGTCCTGAAATCGAAATTCGACTGTCCGTAATTGTTTACGATGTTTTGCTAATGAAACACTTCTACTAATCTATTAGCTTTCTAAACTTGATGCTTTCTTGTTCAATATCATCACCGAACCAAACTTGAAGTCCGAACATTTACTTATGCAGGTGGGCTTCCATTAGTCTAGGCATCAATATGCCAGCACGGGTAGAACGGACGGTGAGACATGGAGAGCCCGAAACTCAGCTAGTAGGAGAACCCACCGGGGAGTTACATGATGTGATCATTTTCTTTGGTATAATCGACATACTACAAGACTATGATATCAGCAAGAAACTGGAGCATGCTTATAAATCATTCCAATACGATCCATCATCCATCTCTGCTGTTGATCCAAAACAATATTCAAAACGCTTTCGAGATTTCATCTTCAGAATTTTTTTAGAAGACACTTGAAGAAGTTGTTATACTGACCCAATTCATCAAAATTTGCAGACAGTGGCCATCCTTGTACAGTCGGTCCGTTGTGAGAAATGATATCGGGTTTTTGATAGAGTTGTAGCGTTCAGCCACAGAAAAAAGAACAGAAAAAGAAAGAAAGAGCAACCATTTGGTGTATAAATTAAGGTAACCATGTAGAGCTTTGGCCAATTATGCATTGTATTTTTCTTTTCTTTCAAAGTTAGGGAGTTATTAGAAAATTATGATATGATTTAGAAAGTTATATAGATGAGAGTTGTCACCCTCACCTCACCTCACCTCACCTCACCTCACCTCACCTCACCCACCTGTTACTAATTTGTAAATTCATTTATTAACCAAAGGTTGAGAACCCAATTCTAAGTTGTAATTATATTTATTTCTTTCTCCACTCTCCATTTTTACACTCATTCATATCATATTATGATGCCCTTCTCTCAATCTCTCTCTCTTTTTCTAGTTCATTTTGGGTCCAAACTTTCAAATAATAGTGGTCGGTCTTCCTACCAGGATGCCTCTTTGGTCGAACAGCCTCTTTACTAGTACTAGTAAGGGCGTAGGAAGCAAACAAACTTGCATTAATGATGCTTTCTTCTTTGTCTTCTCCTCTCAAAAGACCAAGTGAGAGACTACATCTCTTTTCTTCGTTAGCTCTTTAGATTTTTCAAGGATAGCGGTAGCTGAAATGTCCATGAGCCAGGGGAGGAATCTATGTTCAAACACGGAATGAGGGAGAGAGTGGAGAGATTTCTCTATGTTAGCTAAACAGGGTCGGAGATGTCTCCCTTCGCTTACTTTATATTTCACTTTAGTTTTCTATTGAAAAAGAAAGGAAGCAATGATGGGATGTTTTTCCCAAGTACTAAATATTACTCAATGCAAAGAGGTTATAGAAAAGGAAAAGTAAAGAAGAGTAAATGAGTGAGTAGGAGAGGCCCCCCACCTCCTCCTCCTTCCTTCTTACCTCAACTACTTTGAGTGACAGAAAACGACTCGAAGAACGTCTTGGTACAACGAGGGGCCAACAAGTCCTACATGAAAAGACTCGAGCATCTTCTTGTGAGCCTATTGATCTTGCTCATGTCTTTTAATGCATAGCTCCTTGTTAATGATATACTGTTTTCATTCATTCATTCATTCATTCATCCTTTTCTCTCCTCCATCAATGCTTCTCTTTTAATTGTTGTCAAGTTTTGGTAATTCTTCACTGCTTTACTCTTCTTCCCACCTTTCAGTTTTTAGTGTTCATCTAACTAGAAATGAGAAGCAATGGATTTGGAACTGGAGTTCACACTCACTTTCATCTTCTGCTTATGTCCATCGTGTGGGGTCCAACTTTACTTATCCGGGTTCTTGCTAAACATCACCATCGAGGTCATCTCGATCAAATTAATGACTTACATGTAATGAAGCCCTTCCATAATTGGTGAAGTTCCAAATCAGTGAAACTCTTCAAAGTTGAAGATCTCTGTTCCACCATCACAGCATTTCGCAAGAAGATGCTCGATGTTCTATTGATTGAAGATCAATGATTTCATTTGTTTTGTGAAACTTTTCGAGATAGACAATCAAAGAAGAGATAGGATAAGGTAGATGAAAGTTACACATCTTCTTAGCAGTAATATACAGAAGATCAGTATCCAACTAAGATTGGACTTGAGAAATCTTACACTAAGCCTAGCTTAAGGCTACAAAAACTATAGAACAGAAGATCCTATTACAACTATGCACTTTGGTGTTCTATTTAGTGCAAATTCATTGCATTTCATCATGAAAACTATATAGAACTTGTAGATAACATAGCAGATCACTGAAATCTAGTAGAGATGTGATATTTTCGGGTGGCCGAGATCGAGTTTTCAGGTGATCCTCAGCAGGGAGGAAGAGGGGAGTGATAGAAAAGAGAGTAGGAATGTTTAATCCCTGAGGTGATTACCACTTTCCAAATGGAGGTGTGAAATAGATGGGAGTGCATTTTTAACATCAGCTCCTTGATCATAAAGAAATCCTTTGAAGACATGGCCACCAATGTTGACTGTTGCTTGGTAAGTTAACTCACCTACACCACTGCTAATGGCTGTCACTCTATGGCACTTGAACACGGCTGGAGCCCGAACTTGCCCCGGTAACGACTTCTTGAAGCTTGCATCTGGTTTCAAAGTCAAGAGAAATCCAATGGTGGTTAACTGAGTATTATAAGCGTATGTTTTAGCATCATGGGTCGTTTTGGAATGACTTTCTAAACGCTTAAAACCCCTTTTCAACACTTGAGAAGGCATTCCCAACTAATCCTAAGTTCATCAGCACTATTCTAACATTATACATAAAGACACAGGTAACCAAATCATTACATAGAGAGAAACAGAGTGAAAAACAGAGTGAACAAACATCTCATAATTGCTGCTCATGATTCTGAATTCAGTAAGAAACACAAGGAAACAAAAATGGAGAAATGTAAAGAGATAGTTAGGGAGAGTTTTACCTTGATGACTAGAGGTTGTTTCGAAGCTCCGGGGAGTGGTGGCATTGGAAGTGGAAGCGGCGGCGGCAGTCTGTGAGGGAATCAAGACTTTAGGCCTTTTAGCACCAGCAGAAGAAGAACCAGAAGACCCACTAGTGGCGACGCCATCCATCACCACCAACATCTGCCGCTCACGGCGGCGAGATGCCGGCACCCACGTGCTCTTCACGTGCGTAGAGCAATGATTCCCACGTCCTTTACAACAAGTCCTACACCTCCGATACTCGCACTCCTTCTTTGCTCTGTTTCCACAGTCCCTACACACACCCAGAGAACCATCGCCACCATCGCCTTTCACTTGGTCGTCGTAGCCATGATTTCCGCCACCGCCGATCAACGAATCCCCTTTCCCAAACCCAAAATCCTGGGTTCTCTTTAGATTCTCCAAACTCCGACAACGATCGCTAACTTCATCAGGCATCTGATTAGGGGGCGGCTGGAGACATGGGGTTGCAGCAAGAAGGGGGAAAATGCCGACGCTGACGCCAAGAGCTGTGGAGGAGGGCAGAGGAAGAGATGGGTGATGATCAGAAGAAATGATTTGGGTGTGTTGGTGAAGAGAAGAAGGCGTCGGTGCTATAAATAGAACATCACGGAGACCCAACATTGTTGTATTAACACAAAAGGAGAAAGAAAGGCCTGGAAATTGAGATTCAGAATGAAAGAGGGTTATTCTGAATTGGGGCGAGAAGGCCAAGAACAGTATTATTTAAATGATGAAATTTTCAGAGTATAGTTCGTTTGGGAGGTGGGGATTTTGCGGTGTGTGTGTGTGTGTGTGTGTGTGGTGAAAAAGAATTAATTTCTTAAACCAAAAGCAATTCTGTTGCTCTGTTCATGGACTCGAATTCTCTCTCATTTCACACTAACAGAGAACAGAGACAGAGAGAGAGAGAGAGAGCGGGAAGGAAGGAAGAAGATGAAGCTCATTCTTCAAACTCTGCCATGCCTATGAATATTGTGTACTTTTTCTTTAATTAATTAATTAATTTATTAAATTACACATTTTTTTAATTTTAAATTTAATAGATTCTTAACATGTTCCATGTTTTTTAAAATTCACAAATTTAATCATTATAACAAATAAAATTCAATATTATCTCTAATAAATTAAATATATAAAAAAGCTAAACTAAAAAATCATGGAACACTGTATTAAAAATTAAGAAACTAAATAAATATAAATATAAATTTAAAGGCTAAGAGAGTAATTTTTATTATTTTATTCTTCTTCTTCTTTTTTTCTCACTATTTACTGTTTTTATTTAATTAATGAGAAATATTGTCAGATCAAATAAAGAGTTATTTAGTTAATTATTATTTATTTGGCTTATTGTTAAATTAAAATAATATAATAATAGAAGGTTATTCATTTTGCCTTCCACTTACCTCAAATGTAATCATCCTCTGCTTTATTTTCCCCTAATTATAAATTTTTGTTAATTCAATATTCCATCATTACAAAATAGTGATACACTTCAGATATATTTCAATTTATCTTTTATATATATATATATATATATAAATTCTTTTTAATTATAGTTTTTCAATTCTTAGCTAAATTTTCAAAACAAAAATAAATTTATTTTTTAAAAAAAGTTTTCAAAATTTGACCAAAAAAAAAAAAAAAAAAAGCATAATCATAAATAATAGGTGGAAATATTATTTATTTGATAAATATTAAACAATGTAATATATCATTTTGTGTGAAAATTCACGTAGAATAAATAAAATTTCATATTCTTTATATATATATATATATATATATATATTATTGGAAATGGGCAAAATCAAATCCTAAAAAATGAGGTATTTAAAAAATTTACATTTACTATTACTTCCTTAATATGAACTAAAATAATATAGTTTAATTTTTTTTAATAAAAAAATTCATAAATATAGGCAAATGCCACCTAATTTAGAAATAATATTTTAAAACGAACATATCTTAATTTAATTAAAATAATAGCAACATAAAATTCAAATATAACTAGATAAGAAGCACATGGCATACCTAATGCTATTTTATTTTTTAAAAAAAAAGAAAAAAAAAAAGAGTTATTCGAAAGTGTATTATGGGCAAACCTAGATTCATCCAAATGTTACCCAAAGCGACACCTATGTCTATATAAAAGTGAAGAGGATAGAGAGAATAGGCCACCTAACCCCTATCATGGAACCCTAAACCCTATAAACATAGCCCTCTCCCTATGCCCTATTGTCCCCCCTAAAACATATCATATATTTTTTTATTTTTTTTTTATTTTTTACTCTTTTACTTTTTACTTTTTATCTTTTCACCTTTTTTCACCCCTAACTGCAACTCTTTTTACTTTTTATGGGTCACTTGGGGGGGTGGGGACTGGCCACCTTTTATTACATAATAATTACTCCATAACCTCTGTTAAAAAAAAAAAAACAATTAAACTTCAAAATAAGACCATGTTCAACCTAAATTAAACGAATACCATAAAAGATGCTTAAGATATAATAAATTCAATCCTAAAATTGTCCTAACCAATAAAACTAATAATTAACTAACATTAATAATCAAGGTTTAGATTATATACAGTTAGGCCCCCATCGTATTCCCTGGAGACGCAACATTTATTATTGCAACAAACAATTTTAGGAGCAATAATGAAATCAATATACAAAAAGGAAAAAATAAATAAATAAATGATTTGATGCAATTTATAAATCCGTAAATAATGATTAATTGATGGGAAAGTAATCCCAATTTAAATTAATTTTGAAACTATTAAAAGTATTTTATGAAATGATCATTCATTTAGTTGGATGGTTGAAAAATCCAATCATAGATCCATATATATATATATATATACACACAAATATGTATTCAAATTGCTCTGTTGTTTTTTATTTCCAGAGTCAAAATTGTTTGCTAAAAGGCTTATTTTATTACGCCTGGTAGAGTTTAAAAGAAAAATTTTTAAGTTGATTAACTTCAACCAACATTAAACATTGAATCTAATAGATCCTTGACATAAGTGTGAATTTTAAATCATGTGTCAAACAGTTTAGGTAGAGAAATGATTAGATACCAAATTCAGAACTAAGAGATATATTTAGACACACAATTGAAAGTTTATAAATCTATTAGACACTTGTTAAAGTTCAAGGATGAATAGACACAGAATCTATCTGAATCTTCAAGAACTAAACTTATAACTTAATGCTTAATGATGTCAAATAGTAATGAAATATTGATCCAACACAATACCAAAGATAAGATTGCAATAAGAAGAAAGATTTTGTATCTAGGATGGATATCATTTTCATCAAGACCTTATATCTCAACTTGTTGAGAAGAAACAGAAGCAAAAAAAGAAAACTTGATCGTAGAGTCTGATATGAAGAATAGGAATTGGATTGGAAGAAAAGAAAACAGGTATGGATGAAGGATGAGAAAGTGATAGGAAAAGAGAAGCAAATTCAAAGGTAAAAAAGTGGAATAGGATTTTGGTATAATAGCCCAAACCAACCACATTTTCACCTAAACCAAACCATGCTTCTTTCTTCTTCCTATTCTCACCTAAACCAAACCATGCTTTACCTTTTCTTTCCCCCCTCTAAAAGTTGTACCCTTCAAATAAAGTAGACAATGATCCCGCCTTGTTTGGTAACAAATTTTAGTTTTCTAGTATGATAACAAACTCGGCTAAGTTTCAGAGATAAAAAGGATACTGATAATTATACAAGCTGTGCTAGTTTTGTTTAGATTTCAACATATGGTTGGATATCTAAGAAAATGACACACAAACAAATAAATTCATAGATGGATGGAAGTGATATTTAACTAAAAGAAGCAAAATCATAATCAAACAAAGCTTAATATTTTAGTTTAAAGAAATTTAAAGCAGCTTAAGTAAGTTTGTTCTGTGTTGCTTTTTTCTTGGACACTATTAATTGATTGACACTCACTAAATTTCATTCAAAATATAAAGAAATAAAGTTGATGTATAGAATTATTTCTTTCTTACTTTCTTACTTTCTTTCAAACAGACAAAGCCAACTTGTTTTGATTTTTATTTGAAACAAGCCAACTTGTTTTTAAGTTTGTTTTGTTTTGATACTGTAGCTAAAAAAAAAAAAAAAAAATTCCAGACAAACAGAAACAAGTCCTCGACAAAGTTCCACTAATAATTAGTGTTGATTGATGAACCAAAAAAAATATGCATAAGGTGTAATTACCGGAGAACTTGGCAAAGAGCACAAATATATTAAATGATAATGTCATTGATTAAACGTCATTGAAGGCAGTGTCTAAACTGAAAAAGTAGATAGCCAAGCTACTGCTGGAAACTGAATGTCATATTATGCATTGAACCTTGAACTATTATGAGCGTAGCCATATGCATTCCACGTTAATATTCACATTCAATATTGACCAGCAAACAGTGTTCATGCCAAAGAAATTCGAGAATAATGAATGCACAAATTTATGTTAGAGCTAAAGTGAGAGGTACCTCTTGGAATCTAAGTTTGCTCCCACAACTGCCACACATGATATCCTTAGCCTGGCAATGGCAGATCCCCCTTTAAATCTAGTAGATAGCAGAAACCATCACCTAGATAAAAAAACAGAGAGTTGGAGTAGGAGAGTGGATTTTTGGATTCGAAGTGTTGCTTAATAGCTATGAATCTTAATTCTAGCAAATAAAAATATCCCATCAACTCATTTATAATTGAAAAATATGAACATCTAAATATTAAAGAACAGAAACCAAGAAAGGCATAAACATGTACTAACCTCACCTCCACAAATCCCACCCAAATTAAAACCTATCATAATGATTCTTAACCAAATGACTAGCACTCATGTAGAAGTATTTGTCTATGTAAAGCTACATAGAATCAACCCGCTAAATACGAATGGAGATTTAAGAACAATTGATCATAATATAGTCAAGAGGCAGGACACTCCCTAGAAAAGAAATTCCCACTCCCTAGCAGCCTGACAGTGGTGGCTGGGGGAGGCGGTTTCCACTGCCCACTCCCTAGAAAAGAGCCTTTTTTTTTTTTTTTAATTATTATTATTTTTTTTTAACTTAGTGTGTATGCATGGTATCACAGCCGTACTAATATTAGGTTGTGACCCATGTGTAAATGGATAAGGCAGTGACAAGCGAGTGGCACCCATTCGGCCAAGTGAGGGTCAAGACAAACAAGTGTCGTGATATGACCAAGGAGGATGATGCACATCCAATACATGAAGAAGAGTATGCATGAAACCAAACGGAGACATAAACAACATTAGGGGGAATGAGTTGTCATGATTACCAGAGACAGGCTCGAAGAGGACTAGGTAAGATCCTTAGCCACAACCTGGCATCAATCATGCAATATAAACTTCAAAGAAAATGTGAACAAAAAATGTTTGTTCAAATTATCATAAGAGGTTGCAATTCAAGCTACATTAAAGAAGAATCAAACTTAATGGTTACAAATTTTGGGTGGATGATAATTTAGAGCGGTGTGTTTCTTTAGTTAATTTTAAGACTTATTTACATGGTAGCTAATTATGACCATAAAGTATACATAATGGCTAATTATGGTCATAAAATACGACAGTTGCTATTCTTGGAGTTCCTCGTAGAAGGTTAAGGATTTTAATTTAAGGCTATATAAAGCCATGTATGTTATTATTTTTGAAAAAATATAGTAAAAATGAGCATCTATGCTTTCCTTTAAGCAATGATTAAGTTTATTTGCAAATATATGCAGTTTAGGTTGCATATTTAAAATCATTCAAGTTTGACTTGCTTGTGGAGTGATTTTGAATCTCAAACAAGTAAGATCTCAAGGCAAGAGCATTTTTTGAGGTTCGAATCACTCCACAAGCAAGATCGATCATGTCAAGCTTGAGTGATTCTAAACATGCAACCTTTACTATATAGATTTGCAAATAAACTTAGTCATTGGTAAAGAAAAGTGCAAATGCTCATTTTTACTATATTTTTCAAGTATCTTTTGCAAATAAAATGTTCATTTATACTTTATGACTATAATTAGCCACTATGTAAATAAGCCTAAAATAATTAAAGAAACCCCCTAACTCTAAAATATCATCCACTCCAAATTTGCAATCATCTAACAATAAATGAAGCTTGATTCTTCTTTAATGTGACATGAATTGTAATATTTTGCGATAATTTGAACAAAATTTTCTTCACATTTTCCTCGACTGAATCCTTTGACGCTACTCTATTCCCTTCCTCTTTTTCTTATTGATAATCTAAGGGTGACTCGGGAAAAAAGCTATCAATTTATCCTTTTGATTACGAGAAGAGAGAAAGGTGGAAAGGATTTACCATTTGTACAAACTTTGTGGCAAAGAAAAGACCCCAATTATGAAACCATAGGGAAACCTTGTTGATCCCATGAAATTTCAAAATAAACGTTCCAAAGAATTCTTCAGCTTTTAGGCTAATATCTATAATTCAGCACACAGTCCTCCATCCACCACAATATATGTGTGTCCTTATCCAAACACTCCCACCCAGATTTGCAAATCTTTTACAACCCTCTATCCTTGCTGCCTCAGAAATGAACTTTTAGTTTTTGGTACCTCAATCATTATGTCCACTCCAACTAACACAAAAACTTGCATCTACTTCTAAAAATTTGGGAGTTCAATCTCATACTTTAATCCACAATTCTCATATTCAAACTTATTTTCCTTCCATCCTTACATATATCACCATAACCGTTAATGATTCCGAAAAATTTTCCTCATACATTGTATTAACGCTTCATTCGCTTTCCCAATCTTTAGTCCAAAGAATGGCAGGAACTCTTCAATAAAAAAGTTTAAGTCTTATCTCATACTTCATTCCAAAATTCGCTTATCCTAACTTATTTTCCTTCTTCCTTACATTGATGATCTTTAAACTCAACAAATCCAAGAGCTTGTCCATTATCTCGCTTAACGACCAATACAATACAACTTTTCTCTGGCACCAATTACCTAAATATCTTTTGTTCCAACGCTTGTTTTTATTTAAAATTATTTCAATCCTCTTTTCATGATCGCCCGTTCGATTACTCCTTTTAAACTTAAATTTCCTCAAATCACACTTCATCATCCTCAAGAAAAGTTCGTGTCTATATCATCCATAAAAGGGACCAAATGGAAAAGATTCACATAGTTTTAAACTTTTTTGCGTCCTACGTAGTCCGGTCCATAGAGATAGTTGACTTATACCTCGTTCATGCAGGGCTCAATTTGTGGCAGAAAATTAGAAAATTTTGTATGCAGCCTGGTGAAGGTATTAACTCTCGGTTCTTTGTTGACTGTTGCAGATAAGAAGGGGTCATGAGGTACACATAATTATTGTGAAATTAGTTTAGTATGGACTTGTAGTTTGTAATTTTGCTTCATCCAACACAATCCAAGTTCTAGAATAACCCTACTATCTACTATTCGTTGGCTTTTATTCTAGTGCTTCGTCCCTCTAAAATTTCACAAACCTCATTTTTTGGATACCTTATTCCTCAACTTCAACAATTCTTCCCTTTCAGTTGATCTTGATTCAAATTCTTTCATATTCTTATGTGATATGACAACTTATAACTTGAATCCAACGAGTGTCCGTTTTCCAATTGACTATTCCAATCATATAGTTCTCCATTTTAAGTAAGGATATCATCATTTTATTCTTGAAGGAAATCACTAGACCGTTCTAAGAAAGTACCCAATTTAATTATCACAATACTTCATTCACTTGCCTCAAATTAAACCTGATAAGACAATGCTACTTCAAATATTAATTTCAATCCAAAGAAAGAGCAAAATCATCACTGTAACCTTAAAATTTCAAACCTAGAACAGCGACCAAACCACGCATAAAACTAAAAGGCGGAATGAAGGTACTTCACCTCTATTTTTCATCACCGAGACGAGGCGAGAAACTCCTTTGGGTTCTGCTCTCTCTTCCTCCGATTGCCTGGTAACAATGTAGCGTTTGGTTTGAGCAGCGAACACTCAAAAGAGAAGAGGCCGTTGATGGAGCCTTGTACGTTCTAGCCTTCGGTTTGGGCAACGAACACTCGGAAGGGAAGAGGACGTTGATGGAGCGCTCTGATTCTAGTGTGAGAATGTGCGCTGAAGAAGAGAGTGTGAGTGCGGGAGACATATATATATATAAGCCCGAGTGAAATATGCGCCTGCGGCGGCCGAGACAGCTGGCATCCGAGAATGGCGGGTAACGGCTCTGAAGACCGTTATGACTTTGACCCTGGAAAACCGTCGACGATATGAACGTTGAAGCTTATATTTCCGATCCTAACAAAACCCTTGTCGTCGGATAAAACAAATGAAACAAAAAATGGCTCTAATTTCTAACCTTTTTTTATTAATATTATTATTCTTCTTTCTAATTTCTTTTAATATATTAATTAGTTAATTATTAACCATTTGAATTCTATCGCGTAATAATCATCCAGTTGTTCATTTACAGGGCTCTCAGTTCTCAAGTTTGGAGAAACGAAGCAATATGTCGGATAAGAGGAATTAATATTGATTTTCTCACAAAATAAAATGAAAAATCCACGCACTTTTCAAATTTTAAGAACCAAAATTCAAATGGACATTAATCTACCCACTAAATCCTTTCATTCTCCTAATAAACGCAGGTATTCAATCTAACTACTAAACTCGAACGAACATATGAAGTAATCATAAGGCATGAGAAACCAAAATGGCATACTAACCTTCCGTGATAGGAAGACCACATGTATGAAATTAATCGAGCAATAGTCATACTTGTGTTTAATTGTCTCGGTCTATCGTTTTTCTCTTACTCATCTATCTCCTAACCCAAAATTTCGTCTACGGGTTATGAAATAAAGACCCTAACTTTCATCCTGTCTTTCAAATGGCTACAACTATTCAAAATTTCTTATAGCTTTACCACCATGTTAAATTTTCATCTCGTCTAAAAGAGAACCTAACAAAATGGTCGTTTCAAAACAATTTCAAAAGTTAATAGTAAAAATGAAAATTTTAAACCATTTCGGACACGATCGAAACACGTCCTAAAGTTATAGGTCAAAATTGTCCCTTGCGTCCTATTCCAGTATCTATTTTAGCTCCACAGGACTATTAACACACTTAACTCATTTTTCTATAATCCATCCCTAATTCAAACTCCCAAACTCACTCTCTTCAGCCACACCTTGTCTTAGAGGTACCCAAAATCTTCGGCTTCTAAGAGCCCAGATATCAAAATGAGATGGAAACAACAGAGGGATATCCATTATCTCAACAAGATCATGAAATCCATAGCAACACTGCCATTATTCGTAATGTTTATTTAATTTGAGCCACAGACAACCAGGAACAAGTTCTTTACTTGGTTGAATGTTGATGCCAAATTCACTACACTGGAAGTTGGGATCTGTAAGCATCATAGGCAGAAGTAGACGGAGTTACTGGACAGAACCTGATCGAGAATGAGTACGGCACTGGAGGAAGTAAATACTCGTCGTGTACACAGGGAGACCAGCTATCATCTCCTCCCACACCCATGTGCTTGTGGTCAAGATGAACCTACACGACACCATGACGAAACTAAGAGCTTAGAACGTAGAGGACGAGTAAAAAGTCAACAGACAAATCAGATCAGAGGATATCAAACCAGCACATTCTTAAGAAACTTTTAGCTCAGAAGTTATGTTGGATAAACAGATATAATTACCTCAATGTCATCTCCCTCAACAAGCTCCTCGTTGTGTTCTGCACGGTCAAGCTCGGCAGAGGAGTAGTAGCTTGCACTCATTTGCATAGGCGGCGAGCTTCCGTATATCGAGGCATAGATTCCGATACCATCCTTGTTTTCAAGAGTTACCCACCTGACATCAGTCCTGCCTGAAGATTCTCCAGGGACAATGTATGGAACATGCATTTCAGACACATTCTTCTCATAAACTCCGACATGAGCAGCTGCTTTTCGATCAGGATAACACTCGAATGGCCCTCTTCCATACCATCTGACCCGGTCCATAGATTTATCCAGATTAAACTTGACTCCCACGCGTGGCAAAGGAGGAAGATTTGGACTTGGTTGTACTTTGCAGTCCACGATCACATCTCCAGAACCGAAAATCGTATATGTCATATCCACTTGAATTAAGATATTTGATTTCTCCGAGTCGGAGGAAGAAGTCTGCTGATCATCACTCCCGACACCGAGAAAAACGATAGCAACTTTCACATAATGTTCTGTTGTACTAAGTATGGAACATCTTTCGGCACTGAAAGAGAGGCTGTCAATATGGGCAGCTTTCCACAAGGAAAAATAACTACATGAACCTCCACCTTTGTCATTATCAGTAGGCGCCCTCCAGAAGGAAGGCATGATGCCCTTAATTATCAGAGGAACTCCTTTAACCTACAAGTCAATACTCAACATCAGGATTCCCTAGTTCTCTTGAACGGTCTAAGGGGCTAAGGGGCATAGTGAAAATCCAACCATATATTATATTACCTTCCAGCTTTCAAGTGTTCCAGTTTGAACATCTAATTTAATCTCCCATAAGTCCTGCTGGTAGACTCGAACCGTATCCCCAAGAATTTCACTGAGTAAAGTAGAATTTTCATTCTTGATGGACTGCAAATCATTACATATTTTCCACAGTTAATTTATATTATTGGAATGGTAAACTCTCTGAATTAGTTTTAATCAATGTATATAAGCACTAACATGAGGAAAATATTCTCGCTTCATCGGCAACTGGACTTGTGATGATGAAATGGTGTGACCAGCGTCGACCCATCGCGTTGAGTGCAGACGTTTCACAGATACGGTTAGAAAGAACTCTAATGCAGGTGATGAAGCCCATAGATCATACCATGGACTTGATTGCCATTCAATATTATGAGTTCCCTGAGGACCTAAAACAGGAAGAGAGAGAATTCCATTTCCAAGTTCAAGACCATCACCATAAATGCTCCAACTGAACTCCAAATCCTCTGTTGTTGTAAAGAAATGAGCATTCAAAACCTGTAAAATGGAAATTCAATGTAAAACATCTCCCTCCAAGCTTCAATATATGATGAAATAATCTAGTTAGGCATCTGAAGAACCTTAAGTGTTCCATCCTTGAATGAAAACTTGATTTCCTGATAGAGATTCTTGATCTCTGAGTTTTGCAAATTTGAAAACTTGTCAGTAACATACACGATGCTTTTGAAAGTGTTGCTCATCACATCTCTATATAAATAACAAGATGATTTTCAAGTTACCATTTAGTGCAGGATGTGGAGTTCGATCTGGCCATGTCACACCGTTCATACAAAAAACCGAATCATTTGGAATATCTCCAAATTCACCTCCATAAGCCCATCGCTTCCTGCCATTGCCAACCTCCTTCAATAGTGCCTAGATCAAAAAGTAAAACCTTTGAAACTAATGTAAAAAAGGGTTAAACACCTCAAAGGTAATGCTTAGAAAGTAGTTTGCAGAAAATGAAGCAGATAATTCATAAGTAAAACAAACAAACAGCTGATCTCAAAACCTGATCAACCCAATCCCAGATAAACCCTCCTTGGAGTCCAAAGGTGTTGTCAATTGCTTCCCAATATTTATGAAGATTCCCGGTGCTGTTTCCCATCGAATGTGAGTACCTATTGTTTTTTGAAGATGTATAACATTAAACAAAACCAACAATGAAAATGTTGTAGGATTATCCATAAAAGGTTAAAAAAGAGTTATTGACAAGACTCACTCGCAGAGGATCAAAGGACGAGTTTCATCGGGATCATTAGCAATCTTCACAATGTCCCACACACGCATGTACATGGGACAAATTATATCAGTAGAAGAGGTTCTAGACCCTCCTCCTTCATAGTGCAACACTCGAGAAGGATCTTTTCCGCGAATCCAGCCTACACCAATGTCTATGAGTCAAAAACTTTCTTGCATAAATAAAAAATATTGTGTAGGTCGAGATAAAATTGGCCTTGCAAGCATCAAACAAGAGTATATCCAAGCATTTCTTACTATTAAAACCAACTCAAAAATAGAATTAAACCAAAATGACAAACCAGCAAGAGCAGAGTGGTTGGGTCCATATCCAGACTCATTTCCCAAGGACCAAACTATAATACAGGCATGATTCTTGTCTCTTTCCACCATTCCTATTACACGATCCAACATTGCAGCAGCCCAACTTGGTTGCAAAGTTGGATGCTTCACATGTCCGGAAAGATCAAAACCATGTGTTTCTATGTTGGCCTCGTCTACCATGTACATGCCAAACAAATCGCACAGCTCATACCATCGAGGGTGTTGTGGATAATGGCTGTTTCTCACCGCATTAATGTTGTTTTGCTTCATTAGGACCAAATCCTGTAACCACATGAAAAACAAACAACTAACTCGCCATATAGAGTATCATCACTACGGCCTATAAACTATGCCTCTTTAGTGTAAGACGTGACAAATAAAGAAATGGAAAAAAGTTGAATGCATACCGCTAAACAAAGGTAGGTGAGTCAATTCAAATTTTAAACTCGGTTTCATCAATTTAAACCTTGAACGAGCGTAGTAGTTTAAATCTAATACAGCAATAAATAGTGCAATTGAACCCATTAATTAGTTAAGTTTCCATTTTCTTTTGAAGATTTGCAACTAGCTACGAATGTCCTAATAGATTATACTATTTTTGGGGGACCATTTTTTCTAATTGTGTTCTATGCTTTTATTAAATTGGATTTTAGCATTTTTGTTTCAATTTATACAAACAAAAAGAAAGCGTTACCTTAACCATGCAGGACTCTATATTCGTCTTCCCGAGCCGTGGATGATGTTCATGCCTGTTCACACCTCTGATCACCACTGGACACCCATTGACGAGTAGCTGTTTTGGAGCTTTCGTTATACTTCTTATTCCAACTAGGCATGATTCACAGTCGATAATCTTATCTGATGAGTCTTTCAGAAGAACAATAAGAGTGTAGAGATGTGGCTGTTTGCAAGCGAAAAGAAGAGATTAAAAATTAGCAAGCAGTGACACAGAAAGAGAAGAGAAAGTAGCAGATTATTGAGAATCTTCAAAACCTGCTCTGCAGACCAAAGCTTAGGCTTTTCCATTCTTCCCCCAAGTACATAACCATGGAACCCCAGGGTTGTGGCAGAGAGCAGAGAAAGCTTAACACTGGCCACGTTTGATGAGAGAAGATCAGCAATGTCTTCATGATTGTCCAAGGTTCCAACGTCAAACAATACTGCTTCTAGCTTATAATCGTAAAGAAAATTTTCCTTCTTCGTTTCAAGAGAGTTGTCAATTTTCACTTCAACCTGTAAGATGAACATGAAGTTTGAGAAATTATGCCATCAAGCTAACAAAATCAATTTCTGGCCCATAAGGCTCCAATTTTTCGGTTTATGAAAGTTTGAGGGTTTTATTTTTACAATCAAAGTTTATGGGTCAATTTTTTTTTTGGCTAAATTACAAAAAATGCCCCGTTGCTACTTGTTTTAACAATATCCTTCATGATTCAAAATTGCAATATTACCTTTTTAACCTTTCACATACGTTTCAAAACAACATTTGGAGCATGTTGGACGAAAATTGGAACTTGAAACAATGTAGCGACGACAAAGAATGAAAACAGGGACCCAAATACTGCCACACTCCTTCCAAATTTCAATTTGCATCCAAAATTCTATTAACGGATTTCTACTTCAAATGTAGTTTTGAAACATTTATGAAATGTAAAGGTTAATATTGCAACTCTTGTTTCAATACATCAGACACTTTTCCTGTGATATACATACACACACATATATGTAACCATTTGAGAAGTAGAAGCATCAACTGTTTGTCGAATTGAACATTTCGACCCAAATACTTCAAAATGTAAGTTAAAACTTAATATGATAACGTATCATTTTATTCAAAAAATAATAACAGAAGTCTGTACCGAAAGCATATAGCGTACCTGTATATCAGCCCAAGAAAAATCCTCCCCAACATGAGACTTGAAAAAGTAGTCCCCTATGAATACCTACATACAAACCAACTCCAATCACAAACAAACCAACATAACTGACTAACAACACTTGCAAAACTTTCCATATAAAACTGAAAGTAGAGTAGAGAAAAGATTGAAAAAAAACCTGAGGTTTGGATAAAAGAAGGACGTCACGATGAATCCCTGAGAGCCACCACTGGTCTTGGTCCTCAAGGTAAGAACCATCGCTCCATCTTAACACTTGAACGGCAAGAACATTCTTGGACTTTGAGCCACATGGATGGCAATATTCTGTTATTTCAAACTCTGCTGGTAGTCTGCTGTCCTGACTGACCTAACCATAACCACACCAAAAATTTAACTCTTCGAAAGAGTCTCAGATTTCATATTCAACACTATAATCTCCTAACTTTGAATTTGCTATAAATACTAATTTCACCAAACCCCTCCAAATGACCACAAGTTCCTTTGGCACAGTCTACTAAAACCCACAAACCAAATCTATTTTCTCATAAGAAAACCAGCACAAAAGAGAGCAAAACTATCAAAGACAACAGATGTATGACAAATAAATTTGCCTTACAAGCGACCGTTTACCTGTACCCTACGAGACTCCCATTTATCCACACAAAAAATGCAGAATCAACAGCTTCAAAGTGCAACAAAATTCTACGACCTGTCAAACGTAACGAGTATTGCTTCTTATCTTTCTAGAAAACAGGAAGAGAGAGAGAGAGAGAGAGAGAAAAAAAAGGAAGAAAAAGAACCTTTCCATTCTTCTGGAAGATGGAAATAAGTTCGGTAGCAGCCTGTAGGATTGTCCTCGGGAACATGCGGAGGATCGAGAGGGAAGGGATACACAATGTTGGTATAAATGGGCCGATCAAATCCATGCATCTGCCAGTTTGAAGGAACTGTTCCAAATAGTCAACAAATAAAAAGTTCATCAGACAAAAACATGTGTTTATCCAACAACGTTAAAGAAGAGAAACAGATGTCCTCTATTCCTCTTTTGTTCTCCTAAAGATTCATTATGCAAAAGAAAGCTATGGTCCAACTTTTTTAAACTCAAATAATTCAATTTGGATAAACTAATCCATCAAACCAGGCGTCATGGGGCTCTCGAGATCTTAACACCAGGCAGGACCTTGGAGGGTATCTCCAACCACCCTTATGAATATGGCTAATTCAGTTTAGGCTAGAAATAGAGAGCCTCATGCAAAAAAAGATAATAATCCACACCAAATTCACAGATCTCTAACTGTTTCATCTGAGCATTGAAATATACCTGGCAAAGTTGTCCATTCAGAATCCTCAAATGCACTTCCATGAAAATCCTCTGGAACGCTGGTTGGACTAGCGGCCAAGTAAAATTTCCAATAACCAGATAGAGACTTAATGAAAGGTAAGCCCTTGACCCAGAAAGCAGCACTATCAAGAGCACTTTGAACAGCATCATCATTCCAAACAGCCGAGTTAGACACCAGAAAATCTACCTTACTACGATCATGCCAGTACTTTAAACATCCTAAAATACACCAACCACCAGAATTTGCTGCAATTAGGGGACTGGTAAAGAACACTCAAACAACGACGAGTTTAGTTTTACTCGAAAAGATCCATACATTCATGATTTAGAAGGGTTTGTTTCATCTAAATAATCTCAAATGTTACACCCAAAACCACTCTCTCGCTGGCAGACTGCTTACATTCAAATAATCAAAAGTGCATTAAAAAATCAATGTTAAAACCAGCATCAAGGGCTCTCAATTCCAAGGGCAAACAGGGGTTAATCCTCAACCAGAAGGTAAGAGATTCAAATTCTAACCAATTAATTTCCATAATCCACAGAGAAAACCTATTTTTCCAACAACATCCATCACAACAACAAATTAAGAACATAAGTAAAACCTTCAACAGAATCCTGGCAGCGTAGAGGAACATGAGAATCCCTCTTCTTCCACTTGATGAAATTTGGGTCTTCCCACACCTTGTAACCATTATCAGAGGGAATGACAAGCTTAGCGCCCAAAACAGCCATGACCTAACACACGCACCAATGTTTTCAACATTAAACCATGAAATCTGAGCACAAACCAAGAAACAAAATGGCTGAAATCTGAGACAATACCTGAAGCGTTTGAAGATCAAAGAGCGATCGAAGTGTTAGATCCAAATTTAATCTCTGGAACGATTCTTCATATATGTGAATGCTTGATCACGTAACAATGCCGATTATCGCACATAAATATGGTAATTGGACGAATAATTTTGAAAGCCAATGTTAATCAGGGAGTGGCAACTGTGGAGTGAAGAAGGATATCTGTTTCTGATCTTATCCCTCAAGAAAGTGTCTTTACAATAGTGTTGACTTTGTCTCCATTTATTTAATTTTTTTTATTTTAAATATTTTAAAATTCAGAATATTTTTTAAATATATTTTTATATCAGAAGATAAACGGTAAAAATATAACTAATATTAAAAAAATTTTGAGAATTTTATCAAAAATTTTCAATTTATTATTTTATAAACCGTTATTGTAATTTTTTTTAAACTTAAATAATAATTTTATAATTTTTTTCATTTACTAAATTAAATAAAGAAAATTAGGATTTTTAAAGTATTAAAAATATTTTACAAAACTATTTAACATTTTTATCTTTATATTCATAATATTAATTATAAATAAGCGACAAATATATATTAATAATTGTTTCAAATATAGAAGGTTGTTCTGGATAATGTTCCACACAAATTTGGAATGTTCTTGCTAATTAACCTTATATTATCACATATATAAATATTAAGTTTTTAATTTATTTTTGTTGAAATCCGATTTTTTTTTAAAAATATATATTTTTATTTTAAAGAATAGTTTTCTTTTTTTTAAAAAAAAAAAAACATACTAATAAATATAATAATATTTATATATATTTAACATTTTTCAATACCATTTTTATCATTTTTTTCAATCCCTCCCTTTTCTATTTTATATTTAGTCCTAGAAATTCATTATTTTATAAAAATCATTATTGTTCCCGTGTCTCAAAAAGTTAACCCTAATAACCGAAACATATAACTTCAATGCACATATTTCTCTGAGCTTACGAATTACCTGTTTGTCGGCTGACCAATCCATAATGGGCGAAATGATTCAAGTAGAACGTCGACATTACTCGAACTAATATTATATTCATAAGACCATACGTCGAGGTATTAATGTATTATTAAATAAAGCGAGAAGGTTCGAAAATTAGTACCATATTGATTGATGGGCCAAATTTGATGAGGAAATGACATATAATAATCCCACCACCAAAAACAATACAAATTAAAGGCCCAAAGGCAATGGGAAACATAAATACAAGGCTTGAATTGAATCTGTGTGGCTATGATTATGTGTTGGGTTTTGAGTTGACACAATGCAAGAACCAATATTGGCTTGTTTCTCTTTCAATTCTCATTGGCTATCAAATACCTAAAAATGTTTGTGTTTGTGTGTGCCACACACCTATCATGGAGGCAGCCCATTTGTTCTTGCCTCCAAGCCTACCACACAACTCCATGTTCAATGTTGAGCAATAGAATATCTGAGCATTATAGGTGTAGAAACCTCTCACTAGCAGACACATGAACTTGATTGATGGTAATATGTAATGGACTAAAACGGACAATATCTAGTAACGATGGACTTGGACGGTTAGTCAAACACTGGACAGTGTGTCAGCGAGGGCGTTGGGTCCTCAAATGGAGTGGATTGTGACATCCTATATTGGTTGGAGAGGAGAACAAAGCATTCTTTATAGGAGTGTGGAAACCGCTCACTAGCAGACGCGTTTTAAAATGTGAGGTTGATGACAATACGTAATAGGCCACAACAAATAAGATTTGTTAACAATGGACTTGGATTGTTACAAATGGTATTAGAGTCAGACATTGGACATCGATCCCAAGGGAACAAAGCGTTTTTATAAGAGTGTGGAAACCTCTCACTAAGAGACATATTTTAGAACTGTGAGCGTAATAAGCCAAAACGAAGAATATCTGCTCGCGATGGACTTGGACGTTACTCTAACCTCGTGTATCATGTTGGTTAAACTATGTTCATTTAGACATCAATATCGATAAGTTCATGAATGTTCTCATAAGTTCGAGTTTTGGTGTGTAACACATTAACGGGTTTGTCGACTTATTTGCCTCTAGTCCATGCTGCCTCCTTATGCTCCTTCCCCTTTTGGCCCTTTCTGTTCCTCAGCTGCTTTTCTTCCCTTTAATTGTGGTTGTTTTGGTCAACTCTTTTTATTATTATTTATTTATTTATTTATAAATTTGATAATTGATTTTTGAAATTATTTTGGTACTTTGGATTTGTGATATCTAGACATTTTCATTTTTTAGATATCTAACTGACACACAAAAATAATGATGTTGTCTCCAAATTTCATTCCAAAAAATATTAATAAAATTCATCATTTTTATGGGGTTTCTAATAAATTATGTCCATTAATTTAATTTTTTTTTCTCTAGGAAAATGGATAATTTAAAAAAATAAATAAAAAATAACGTGAAGAAAAGAGTCCCAAACTTGCTTCACATAGCCACAGAAGGTAATCTTCGATTGAAATTTGTGAAGTCTCATATCGGTTGAAGAGGAGAACGAAACATTTCTTATAAGGGTGAAGAAGCCTCTTCCTAACATACTCGTTTTAGAACTATGAAGTTGAAGGTGATACATAACGGGCTAAACCAGACAATATTAGCTAGTGGTGGACTTGAACTGTTATAAATGGTATAAGAGTTAGACAACAAGTGGTGTGCTAGCGAGAATGCTGACCCCCAAGGATGTGGATTGTCACTCCTTATAAGGGTGTGGAAACCTCTTTTTAACACATATTTTAAAATTATGAGACTGACAACGATACGTAACAAACAAAAACTGTGGTCTTGTTCCTCGTCAAGATTCTAAATAATCAACGAATCAGTTTCAGCTCGGAGTAAATGACAATTTCAAATTTTAATAGTGTAACAACTTCTGGCAGCTTTAATAACCTTTTAATTTTTTTTTGACTTGCTAGCATTTACTTTCTTATAAAGTGGCTGACAAGTTTACCAGACTAATAACATCCACGGAGATCGAAACGTTACGATTAAGTTTGAACGATATATCCGAGATGAATAAATAAATAAATCATTCTTAATCTAAATTTTTTAAAATAATAATTTGATAACTTTTTTTTTTTTTTTTTTTTTTTTTTTTTTTTTAAA